AAGTTGTATGTAGATATTTTTATAAAATAAAAATTATATATTAATTTTGAACTAACTACAAAAGTTGATTGTTAAAAAGAACCTCAAAAGAACAAAAATAAAACAGTAGAAATTTTCAATTCAAAATATCAAAATTTTACTATCAATACCTTAAATTATGATTTTATTATTAGTCCTACTAAAGGTTATATTGATTTGTGTTCAATGAGTTTTTGAATTGCCAATACTTTAAAATTATGATTTTTATATCAGTCTATCCTAAGTGAACACTCATGGTGGTATCCTAAAGTCTTTGACTTCTCCATATGCCAAATACATTCTCAATTTAAAAAGAAAAAAAAAGAAAAAGAATAGAAAAGATAGTGAGACGCTGATAAAAAAACATTCTTACCATTTAAGTAGTACATAATATGTAATATATATATTTTTTGTTTAATTTGTACTAATTTGAATTGCACACAAATCGTATGTGCCAACCGCTAGTATTGATTTAAGTGTACTGTCTATTAAGTGCATCTGCTAATACATACATAATTATCACTTAAAATTGAAAATTTTACCTAAAAATGATTTGAATCTTCGAGTTCTGATCTTACTTAAGTTAGGAAATGCAAAATCTCTCGTGCCCAATCCAAGGTTCGCCCAACTTAGATCATATTTGTTTGGAAAGACTAGATAAGGGGGGATTGTAATCTATCGGATTGTTAATCTTAGGAGACATAATCTCTGGACTATTTGGTTGGATAGTATATGTATTCCATGGTTGTTTAGTCATAGAATTAGATGTAGGAAAATGATTATTCCATTGAATTGTATGTTTGTTTGAGATATTATGAAAATGATAAATGTTCAAATGATTATTATGCCCTTTCAAATTGTTTACTAAATAATATCAATATTAAACATGTCTTTAATATTTTAATTTTTTGGGCTAGATTAAATAAATTTTATTTTTTTATAAAAAAAATAACAATTATTAAATAAAACATCAATAAAAATTTAAATAATGAAATTAAATAAAACATCAATAAAATTTTAAATACAACACCTATAAAAGTTTATTTAAAAAAATTAAATAAATAAAACATCAATAAAAATTAAATAAAATTATTTTATTTTTTAATTGAGACATTTAAATTTTATTAAATATAATACATAATTAAATCAAATACTTAGAGGGAAAATATGTCATTTTACCATTTAATCTTAGGGGATAGTTATCGTACCAATTCTATCCCGTACCGGCCGTAGGATACACTAGTCCACATATATGGGATTGATAGTCCAACCGGACTCCTAATCTGACTTACGAATTTGCAACAAAAAAATGGACTCCATGATCCAATGGACATGGCGTCCAATCTCCCCTCAAATCCTTCTAAACAAAAAGTCTTTTCCAATCTCAACCCTAAAATATCATCTTTTGTATAACTTTATTTTTTTTTTCAAATAATATAAATGGGTAGAACTTTAAAAAGAATTATTAGCAATATATATATATTGAAATTTTTTGTTTAATCAACCATTAATAGGGATAAATTGGAAAAAAATTAAAAAATTAATAAATAATTGTTTTTATTTTTTGGAATTTTTTGTTTATAATTTGTAATAGTATAAATTAAAAGTAAAGGATCAAAACACTGACACAATATTTGGACTAGCAATTTATGTAGAGAGAAGGAAAGTGGGAGAGTGACCCATTAAATTTCTTGTAAGAAAAAGAGATTTGTGTGAATTATTTATATTGAAAAGTTACATACATGGGGATATGGGAAGCTAGTTAAATGTTAGTTTTTTGATTTTTTCTTTTATAATTATTTTGTCTTTTTATATGTAAAAATTATAAGAAGTGATGTGATTCAAAATATGTTAAAAGTTAAAAACTAGTTTTTAGCTAGCTTCCTAAATTGTCTCACAATCTATTTTGGAAAGAAGCACATATTATGCATAAAAATTAAACATTTATTAGAATTTTAACTTGAGCTTCATTTTTTTGCTTTTCATATTTGGCTTGAAATATTATATATACTTTCCTTTTAAAAATAACTGAAATTTTATTTAATGGATAAATAAGAGTTAGAATTTTAAATTGTTTAGAAATAAGAAAATTAAGCCATCGTTTGGAAAGTAGGTTGGCTTTTTTACATTTTGACTTTTTTGTCTATTTTAGCCTAGGCTAAAAAGATGGTTTGAAAATGACTTTTTGGCCTTTTGATTTTTTTTAACTTTTTTTGTGAGAGAAGAGTGTAATGATTATGAATTGAATTTGATGTTTTGTTTGTTGTGCCTAAAATAGTTTATTTTGTCTTTTGTGACTAAAATAGCCCCAAACCTCCTTAAGTTTTGGAGTTCTCATTACTCTCTTCATTGTAAACACCATTTGCTATATATAGTATAGATTATATAATATAAACAAAAATATTGTTGAAAGTCGTAACACAATTTTTTTAATTTTTTAATTTTTTAAAATAAGTATATAAATACACATTTCATTCAATCATTGGTTATTACATTTTAAATGTAATTAATAATTAATTATTTGATTCATATGGTAATAATCATCAAATTACTTCAATTTAGAAAATAAATTAAGATTTTGAATTGTTATTAATTTAAAAGCACATTTATTTTTGTTGATTTATTATCAATATGGTAATGTTTATATGCACGTGGATATACACTATACTATTGGATTTTTGATTTCTTTATATTAAAAATATTTAGTTTTAATTTTTTTTTAAGAAATAAACTCTTATTTTGAAAAATATTATGCATTAACGTAGATAATGTTTTCAATTTTTTGAGCTTATACAAATATAAAACCACATGTGCCATTTAATCATTGACTTTTCCTATAATATTTATGATATTTTTTTGCTAGCAGTTAAACCTTTACAATTTAATTTATAAAGTCTTGTTATAAATTTTATAAATTGAAGATATTCATAAACAGTTATATTTTGATTGAAGCAAAAATCATAGTATGTGTGGGGAAGTATTTTGTGAAAGACAGCACGTAGCAAAGGTGACGCCAAAGTGTCAGCTGAGGTGCCACGTGGTTTGGTCACATGCTGAGATGATCTCAGCTAGGCCGAGATTGTTTACGAAAATACCAAAATCTGAGATAAACGGATAAGGGACAAATATCCTAGATGAAAGAGGGTTCTGGTTTGGATAAGGATAAACTCCCTAGGATAAAGCTCTTAGGGAGTTTATCCCTATCTAACTGAAAGTTTAGGACGAACATTGAGCTTGAGTCCACTGAAGTGAGGCTTCTAAAGGAATCAGGTCACTGCTGGTTATAAAAGTAAGGCACCCTCGTGAGTTTGAAGGAAGTTATTTCTTGTGAGCTTAAGCACAATTTGCTATTTTTGAGAGATATTGATTACTAATTTAATTGTCAGAGTGCTCTCTGGTGGACGAACCACAGCCGAATTCTTATTTTCTTGTGTAGGTTGTTGGGCTTAATCTATTCTGCCGGTGCTTTCTAACTGAGTTTCCTTTTAGTTGTGTGGTCAAAAATCAACACCCACAATTTGGCGCCATCTGTGGGGATTTAAGGAGAATAGATGGCCAACAACGAACAAGAAGAAAAGATTGGGGATGACATTAACAGCAAGAGTTGTTAACATAGAGATCCTAACGTCGGGAAAGAAAACCATAATGAAGAAGCACACGATCCGAATCTTGTCGGCAAAGAGGTGCATGCCCCAAAGAAAGCTGATCGAGATGAGTACTACAATGAAAGCAACCTCTAGGTATGGAAGGATAGATGCCTGAGGAGGGACGACAAGATGAAAGGGATGGCGAACAAGTTGACAGACCTACAGTCGGTTGTCAACTTCATGATGCAGAACAACGTGATGCGTGAACATAGAGATCCTAACGTTAGGAAAGAAAGCCACAATGAAAAAGCATGGGATCCGAATCTTGTCGACAAAGAGGGGCATGCCCCAAAGAAAGCTGGCCGAAGTGAGTACTACAATGAAAGCCACCTCCAGGTACGGAAGCATAGATGCCTAAGGAGGGACGACGAGATGAAAGGGATGGCGAACAAATTGGCAGACCTGCAGTCGGTTGTTAACTTCATGATGCAGAACAACGTAATGCAACCACTATTTCCGTTACAGGACAAGCCGGTACCAGCGGCAAAGACTGATACCTAGAAAGGGGGCATAAAACAATCCCAGCAGTCCTGCAGCATAGCAAGAAAAAGGAATGCTTACATCGGCCCTCATGAGATGTCGAGTAGGAAGAGTCAGTGAGAGGTGAGTCGTAGAGGACGCCTCGTACCAAGGAAACCTATGTCAAAGAACCTCGGCATGTACAACGAAAGGGCCTGTGTTTCGATATAGTGAATGAAGAAAATTCTAAAAGGACACACCACGACGCCGGGAGTAGCACGCCAAAAAGACTGAAATCTGTTGATAGCCGAGCTCCCGATCGAACAAAGAAAAATCTGTGAGCTTACCTCCAGAGGAAGCGACTCAACGCCGAGGTCACATCGTCCGTTAAGCAAAGAATGCCGTTCTCAGTGGAGTTGGATGGGTTTGAGGCCCCAAAGAGGTTCCATATGCCGAGGTTTCAGATTTATGACAGCAAGTCTGATCTGAACTTTTTTGTCGGCTTATATTTAAATTCAATGGCTTTGTATA